CAAGGCCTTCCCTATGCAAACTGCTGCTTCATGGATTGTATCATACCTGCAGTCGAGGATGAAGACCTGTTCTGCATTCGGACTTAATGACACACTTCGTTCACGGGGGCATCAAACAATCCGAAATTGTCTATTTAATTAAAACTAACGTTAGGTCAAATACCGAGTTCCTTTTATGGTAATGCTTCAGAATGAACTCTCACACTTGGTTTCACCACTCTATTTCATCTCACCTGATGTGGTTTTCAATTTTTTGGTAGATGGAATAATTGCTGCCCCGCCGATGCGGTTCCATGTGCATCTGCAGATTGGAGCGATGTTTGCGGTTGTCTAACTGCGGTTTGGCTGGTTTGCCAGCAATGAGGAATTTTCACTCTGGCTGGCAATCTGTTTAAAAAGCCGCAACAACTGAGCGTGCTTGTGGGAATCGTTTTTTAGACTTCCTATGAACCCACTGCATGTCGTATTCGCTTTTCAGGGGTTGGTAGTTCATCACAGATGGTTGATTCTACGGGCAATGCATTAAGTGAATGTCAGCTATGGAAGTCTTCTGCTCGACCAACGCAGTGTGTCATGTTTCAGGAAGAAAAGACGTTTCATCTCGGTCACGAGCGACTTCAGGTTCATGTCTGGATTGTAAACGGATACGAATATCGTTATCTTCTGGACTCTGCAGTGCTCTGATAAAAATGAGGCACTTGAATTGGTCATCGGTTAATGAGCGAAGTTTGAACTGTTCGCACTCACGATTGATTTGGACAGCAAGCTTGTCATAATCCTCTCCCTCCTGTTTCATAATTTTCATACACTCGTATCGGATACTGAACAATGAGGGCTGACTCACCAAAGATTTCTAATAACTGTACCAGCATTTCGTCAAATTTCAAATCATTTCGTTGTTTGGAAAGAATATGGTCAACAAATTTGGAGTGTTCGTTGGTTCCAAGTTTCCGGACTAGCAGACGCACTTTCCACACATCATTTTAACAACTGAAATGTGTGCGGAACACATCTTCCCAGTGTTTTAACCAGGCTTCGAAAGTGTGATCAGTTTCAGGATTATAGTTGTACTCAATGGTTGAATTTTCAGGCATTTTGGTAGAGCTTGAGTGAAAGTCGAGAAAGTGAATCTATTGTTTGCAGGTTGAGCCGCTGCGTCAAGGATTCGGTCAGTTTCAGTTGAGCTTCTATCTACTTCTGTTTCTGCACTAACAAGCATT